TCCCGGCTAGACTGCTGGCCTCCACCCAAGCCACAACCTGCAGCCCTTTCCCACTGGGCAAACCAGCAAGACGGGAGGCAGCCCCAAACGTCTCTTCCCTGGCTAGAAGGCGAGCGCCACAACCAGCCTGCAGGGTCCAGGGCGCGGCGCTGCAATTCCGTCCCCCACCCTGCGCCAGGGCTCACGCCCGCACGGTAACTGGGCGCCCCTTCCACGGGCCCGAACACGGGAAGGTTATAAAAATGCCATGGAGTAAGGAGAGGGCGTAGCAGCCAGCCGGCCCTCTCCACTCCCAGCGGGCGAGTCCCCGCCTGTCTCCCATAAGCACTGGATCAGGGCGCGCTGTGTCCAGCGCCGGCGCCTCCCCTGCTGCCCAGACAGCACAAGGAAGGAGACACCCTTATGAGTGAGAGTTTTGGGAGGCTCCCAAACCACCTTCCCGCGTTCCTCCGGCCGCACGGCAGGGAGCAGCTCAGCCCGTGCGCATCGGGTGCCTTGCGCGGCGTGGGAACGGCCGGCGTCCAACGCCCCGGGGGCGAGGCAGTGACGGCGCTTCCAGACTAACGTAGCGACACAAACGACAAGTCTGAGCTCCCCGAGGCAGTGCTGAGACTCCCGGGGGGAGCACACCACGTCCCAAATGCCCTGCGATCGAGTGCATGTCCCACGGCGTCTGGACGGCGCCGTGGCCACGGCCAGCAGGGACACACGTGGCAAGGAGTCGGGACACCGCAAAGGCTCACACTGTCATGAGGGGGTAAGCCTGCGTGAGCCGCGCCGGAGGACGCAAGTGGTCGCGGACGACAGCTGATACCCTAAATCCGTGGTCACCAACCAGTAGATCGCGAGCTACCGGTAGATCTCAGGGGCTCTAAGAGTAGCTCGAGCCCTCTCTGAACTGCGCGCCTGTGCAGTATTTACATTAGATTTCCTCATTTGAGGAGCAGCTACTCACCGAGCAACCACACAGGTGAGTAGCTGCGTGGAATGGTGGGAGCTGGGAGGTGGGGAGGGCTGAAACACCCCAGCCGACTGGCTTTCAGCTGAAAGAGGCTCCCTGCGCTCCAGCTGATCGGTGGCTTCTCCTCTGCGCCTGCCCACGTGGAGTTTGGTGCTCCCTGGCTGAGCCCATGGCCAGCTGGCCGGGCAGCCACTTCTCTTCCCTCCAGCCTGGCTGCCCTGCGCTCCACCCA